AGTGTAGCGCCGATTTTAGTCACCTCTTCTTTATATATATATATATATAATTTTTGTTTCCTTTTTGTCCCCTTTCCCCCTTTTTCCCCTTTTTTTGCGCTTTCACCGCTTCGCTTTCCTTGCAGAGAAACAGGCACGTAGGCTGCACGGCAACGAGCAGCACACACGCGAGCAGAGAATGAGAGCGAGGCGAAAAAAGGAGGAAATGTGAGCTGAGAGCAGAAGCGAGAGAACAGTTGAGGAGTTCTTTGTTGTTGTTGTTGCAGTCGCGTCTGCAGCGGCGGCCAGGCACGCCCCGCGTTTTTGTTTTATTCGTAATTTTATTCTTTTGCTGCAACCCACCCCTCAAACGCCCCTTCTCTCCAGACAAAACGCACAGACACACATACACACACACACAGAGAGAGAGAGAGGGCAACATCCCCTCTTTCTTCGTCGTTTACTTGCCCTTTTTTCCCCCACGAGGCAGCCCAACAACGAAGTCGTCAAGCATTCCAGCGGCAGAATAAAAGTAACCGATAATACAATATCAATAAAACTCTTTCCAATATCGCACCACCCTGCTTCTACGGACAACATACCCGCATTGGAGATGGATGGATATATGCATATATGCATGCTTATATGGGCGTGCGCCCGTCGTTGTTTGTTTGTTTGTTGTTGTTGTTGTTGGCGGTTTGCCTTTCTCTGTCGTCTCCCCCATTCGTTGGATTCATCGCCTCTGCAAAAGTGGATCTCAGACGGGGGGAGGGGGAAGAGTTACGCGTTGCCGTTTTTTTTCTTTTGTGAGGAGGGGAAGGAGGGGAGGGGAGGGGTCCCACGCGCCTCCGCTGCAGCGCAGTTCCCGCTTCCCCACCACCCCTTTTTCCCTTTCGCCACGCCGTCTACACCCGCGTGAAGAGCAGCGCCGTGTTGACGCCGCCGAAGCCAAAGCTTGTGGAGACGACGGCATCGCCCTCGAACGGCAGAGCCGCACGGCCGCGCACAAGCTGCAGCCGCTCCGACGCCGCCGCAGAGGGTGTGACGAGGTTGATGTTCGGTGGCGCCTGCTGGCGGTGGAGGGCCACGATGGCGACGATGGCCTCCACGCTGCCCGCGGCCCCCAGGAGGTGTCCAAGGCCCCCCTTCACGCTGCTAACGTAGAGCGGGCGGCGGCGGCCGGAACCCGCGTCGCCGCCCAGCACCCGGTCGAGGGCCTGCAGCTCCAAATCGTCGCCAATCGTGCCCGTGGCGTGTGCGTTCACGTACGCCACCTCGCTCGCCGGAACGTCCCCCCCGTCCTGCAACGCAACGCGGAGGCAGTGCTGCGCCCCGCGGCCCTCCGGGTGCGGGGCGGCCAAGTCGTGCGCATCACTCGATATGCCGAAGCCGCGCAGCTCTGCGAAGATGGGGGCCCCGCGCTGTCGTGCGTGCTCCAGCTCCTCCAGAACGACGACACCACTTCCTTCCCCCATCACAAACCCCGCACGATCCTTGTCAAACGGCCGCGACGCCTCCTGTGGCTTGTCGTTGTACTTCGTACAGAGCGCCCGCATGCGGCTAAATCCAGCGATGGAAACCGGCGTAATACACGCCTCCGTTCCCCCACACACAACCACGTCTGCCCTCCCTCCACGAACCCATTCAGCGGCTTCTCCAATGCAGTGCGCCCCTGTGGCACAGGCGGCGACGCCGCTTCCTAAGGGTCCCGTAATGCCGTATTTCATAGCCGTAAGGCCGGCAACCATGTTTCCCAGGATCTTTGGAACAAACAACGGATTCACACGACTGTAGTTGACGCGCTCCGGATCGGCATACAAGCTGTAGGAAACATCACCCACATCTGCGAGGGAGGGCATCCCAACCCCAATATTCACGCCAATACGCTCCTTCGCACAGGACACGCGCAGTTGCTTCCCTGAGGCCTCAAAGATCTTTGCATGTGTCAATGCTTCCTCCACGGCCCGGTGGGCAAACACCGTCGCGCGCGTCTCACGTGTAGTGGGGGCGAAGGTAGGCCCACCTGGAGCCGCAGACACGGGCGCGGCAACTTTGCACGGCATGCTGGCAATCAGCTGCTCGTGACACTTCTGCCGCGCCGCAGGCGTGAGGCGTCGGTCTGTGCCCAGGCATGCGGGAAAGAAAAAAGGGGCCTCCGCGAGTGGGCGCGTCGCGGAGAGCCCTTGACAGAGCGCCGCCCACGTTGACGCGACGTCGTGGCCGAGTGGCGTCACCGCACCCAGGCCGGTGACGACAACGCGGCGGCGCACAAAAGGGGGAAAGGATCCAAACGGCATTGGCCTACACTTCCTTCCTCGTCCCTCACACACAAACTCGCGCTCACTCCTGTTTGCTTGCTTGCTTCTGCAATTGCCGTTTTCCGCACGCACGGCGCCCCACTCATCCCCCACGGGAAAGAGCACGAAAAAAAAACGAGGGGACAAAGCAAGATCGACTTGTGAAGGTACACGCAAGAATAATAATGCAAATTACCATAACACCCACACGTTGTCCCCCCCCTCCCCCTCCCCACACCCACACCCACTTGCGTTATTGCTTCACTGTGACTGGCCACACACGGCAAGCGCGGAGCCGCGAAAGAGAGAGGAGTAGGGATCTACAATTTTCTCCGTGAGTAGACGGCCTGCGTAGTGGCCTGCTGTGTGTAGGACCCTTTCCGCACCTCTCGCGAGGGTTTAAAGTTCCGCAGCCCCGGAAGAAGGTGTCCTGATACAAGCTGCAGCTGGTCCCACAAACCATCCACGTTCTGCGCGCCCTGCTCACGCGACGACACACCGCGAGCCCGCAGCGTCCTAGACTCCAGCATGCTACGCTGCACACTCAAGATGCCCTCACCCCGCTTGAGGGCGGCGGCAATCATTTTCGGACTTGCAAGGTGCCGCCGACGGTGAAACTCATTGTGCAGGCGGAAGAGGAGATCCGCCCGCTCCTGCGGCGGGTGTTGGTGAATGAGGCGCAAGAAGTCACGGTAGAGGTGCAGGACATCCTGCGCCCTGTACGGGAAGTGGCGGAAGGACGGCACAGGCGTTCCAATTACCTGTGGCTCCTGGCGAGCGCAGTGGCGCACTCCACGACGCAGCATAAAGCCTAAAAAGCACCTGCACAACGAGACGGGGAAAGGCGTGTGGTACCGCTCCGCAGTTGGTAGTGGATTGGGTGTTATTCCCAATGCAGAAAACGTAAAAGAAGAAAAACAAATGAATGCTGAGACAAATATGAAGAATAAATATAGATGTCATACACTCTGTCAAGGGGAAAGGATTGGGAAAAGCCTTCTCAGTAACACTGCCGCGCGAGGAAGCAGGAGGGAACGGTGATGAGCAAACAAGAAGAAGCAATGAGAGTGTTCATTAGGGCTCTCTTCCTTCTTATCCGCTCGTTTCCCTCAACTCCAGCAAGCAGGACTGAAGGCAGACCCATACACACACAGAGGGAGAGAGAGAGAGAGAGCGACGCAAATATGCATGTTTTTTTTTTGAAATGTTGTTGTTGTTGTTTGTAGCGCGTTCTTGAGTTTTTTTATTTGTCTATGTGTGAGCGAATAGTACGTGTGAATTCCTTCGACTTCTCCGCCTCTTCTTCCTTTACCGGTTGCCTCTATTTCTAGTTATATGAACTGAATCCACCCCTCACTGCCGGCGCCTTCGAATACAAAGCTGTCGCTCTGCAGCCGGGAGACGATCTGCTGCAGACGATCCAAAGAGGTGTCGTCGCCCACCCTTTCACGCAGTTCCGTCAGTCGCACCGACGGACGCTGCTCACGCTGCATGGCGCGGAGAACCTCTAAAATTCGCTTTTCAATGAGTTGCTCCCTCACCGCGCCCTCCGCCGCCGCAGACGACGATGCTCCACCGTTCGCGTCATGTGGCGCTCGCCCACTGCCCGCACTGTCAGCGTCATGCTCGCCGTCCTGGAGCACAGCCGCGGGGCGCTTCCGACCAGGACGGCCTTCCCCGGCCGCCTCCTCATTGTCCTCGCTACGCTGCATGGACGCCATGGATGCGGCATGAACAGAGGCGCGCAAAAGCTCCATGGCGGTTTTGACGTCCTCCTCACCTACGGTCTCGGAGAGCCGCAGCTTCGCGTGCGCCGTCGACAGGCGCACAATCGCCTCTAACGTACGCGCCGTCACGTAGAAGCCGTCCTTGGACCCCTCCTGCTGCTCCGCGCGCAGCTGCACGTAGTGCTGGCTGACGAGCTGCTGCGCGGCCTCCGTCAGCAACGGTCGCCCCTCCTTCGCAAGCTGCACGTAGGCGCGCAGGAAGTCAACGCCAACGATGGGTTCCCCCGTACTCGTTGTCGTCATGCGGAGGTCCATTCCGCCGCTGCCGCTCCCTCCGTTCTTTGCGGACTGCGCCCAGACGGAATCTACGCTATCCACCACCGTCTTGGTGACACTCTGATCGATGCCCACAGGTGCGGCGGTCATGTGATTACGGAGGATGTGCCTCCCAATACGACGATTGTGCTCCGAGGAGTGCTTGTCGAGCACAATAAAGGTGAGGTCGAAACGCGAGAGCAGCGACTCGGGCAACCCCACATTAAATGCAAGACGGTGATGCACACTGTAAAAGCCGTAGATAGGATTTGCCGCCGCCAGTACGCTACAACGGGCATTGAGGGAGGCGTGAATGCCTGCCTTTGCAATGGTGACCGTCTGCTGCTCCATTGCCTCATGCATCGCAACGCGGTCCTGCGGACTCATTTTATCAAACTCGTCAATGCAGAGAATACCGCGGTCCGCCAGCACCATCGCCCCCGCCGAGAGAGAACGCTCGCCCGTGTAGGAGTCCACGGACACGGCGGCCGTCAATCCTACCCCGGAAGAACCTTTTCCGGTTGTGTTCAGCGCCAACGGTGCGACGCCGAGGACGAAGCGAAGCAGCTGCGACTTCGCCGTGGAGGGCTCACCCACGAGCAGCACATTGATGTCGCCGCGCACGTGCGATTGATGCGCCTGCCGCTCGACGCCACCCACCATAAGCAGCAGAACCGCCTTTTTCTCGTTCGTCATCCCGTAGATGGTGGGTGCGACAGCCTTGCTTAGCGCCTCCAGCACCCCCGCAGGTCCATCGCTCTGAGTGCACTTCTGCGCAAAGGCCATCAGCTTCTCCTCCACGGCCATAACGCGACGGTACATCGTAAAGGCCTGCACAGACACCACATGATTTACCAACACAATAGATTGAAAACTTTTACTGTCAGCCGTGGTGTAGGCCATGTAGACCCCCACCAGCATCACACGATCGCCGGGTTTTACAGCATCCACCAGGTCATCGTCAAAGCGAAGTTCAACGGTGCGGGGCAGTTGACCTGTCGGCGCACGTTCAGGGGCCTCTTGAAGAATGGCGCACTGCGAGTCCATAAAGGTTGACAGCCCCAGCTCTGTACGGAGTGCGTGGCCCTCCATGTCAGTCTTTGGCATGACATTCACCGTCGGGAGGTGAGTGCTGTCAAGCATGGGTGTGAACTGATCACGAAATTCCTTGCGGGTAAACTTGTTCGTCTCGGGGCAGTAGTGCACCGACTCCAGCACGCGTGGACGGTTGGAGGACTGTCGCGTGATGATGCCCTCGAGTGCGACCATGGTGTTCAGGTGTCTGGCGTACAACTCCCGCGGCGAGAGCACGGTTCCCACGGGACCCTCAAACCCAACGTGCACCGCACGGGAGCGGTAGTCCACCTTCAGGTACTCAGGCTGCTGCCGCAGTACGACGTCGTGGAGGGCAAGCTCAAGCAGCGGCACAAACTTTCCGGGTTCACGGATAAGGCCGACGCCAAGCGAGACAGGCGCCGCCCCCGCCGCCGCGCCGCTGCCGTCAAAGCCGGCGGACACAGGGGCAAAGTCAAGCAGGTCGCCCATGTCAAGCAGCAGCCTCGACTTCGCGGCGGACATCATCGCATGCACGCGTTCGTGGTACTTTTCCTCGTACCGCTCCGACTCAAAGAAGTCGATGAAGTGGCGACGGATGAGGGTCTGCTCCTCCGTCAGGCTGCGATTCCCAAGCATCCCGTGTCCCCTTCTCTCTGCTGTGGGGAGAAGAAAAATTGCCAAGCTTAAAATAAAATAAAAGAAAGCAAAGCACCGGTGAGCGATTCTCCAACGCAGAAAAAGCGAATAAATAAACCCGCACAACAGGCAACAAACACCATAATTTGTTTATTTTTCCAAGCATCCGGCCGACCACCACAACACTTCTCTTTGCGTATTGTACTGTTTTTTTTGTTTTTGTTTTTCTTTCTTTCTTCGTTCAAGTGTGCAGTGGTGCTCCGTGCGTCTCTCACCCTATTCGTGTGCCTCGTCGGTGAGCCCCCCCCCCCTCGCGCTGCCTCACGCACACCACACCTGTACGAAGCGAAACACGGCAAACCAACTACAATAATAGCAACTGCAACTCATTTTGCGCCTAACGCAGCCGTGTCAGCGCCCAAGGACAGCTTTTTTTTATTCGCATCTTCCGCGCTTGCCAGCGGTGACGTGTGCGGTCGTTGGCCGCTCCTGCCGGCCACGGCCTTCATTGTACCCGCGCAGCTTCTGCAGGAGCACCTCCACCTCCTTCTCCTTCATACGCAGAAGATCCTCGTCGATGTCCCACTCGTGCACCAGCTCCGCCTCCATCCGCTTAAACGGCGTTGTCAGGGCATTTGTCAGCTCATGCAGCATCTGCTTCGCCGCCGCCTCCTTCTCCCTCTCCTCCTCACGCGTCGCCGCCGCCCTCGCCGCAGTGGCTGCCTCCTTCTGCCGGAGGATCATGTCGGCCACGCGGGCCTCTTCCTCCATTTCCTCCCGCTGCTGCTGCTGCCACGCGGATGAGGCGCCGTTGCCCGCCTGGCGATGAGACTCCTGCAGCATCGCCTCGTCGTACTCGCGCCGCTTCAGCGGGTCCGTAAGCGTCTCCGCGGCGAGTTTCACCCGCTCAAACGCCAGCCGGGCGGCCGGTGAAGAATCCTTGTCGGGATGAAACAAGAGGGCAAAGCGACGGTACGCGCGGTGAACGGCGTTGAAGTCGACATCGCGCACGGAGGGGTCGAGGGAGAAGATCTCGTAGTAGCTGAGGCGCAAGATCGTCTCCTTCTGCACCTGCACGGTGTTGCTGCTCATCCTTGCAGTTCGCTACGCCGCCTTCTACCCCCGCTACGTCGCTGCCTTCGCCCCACTTCTTCCGTACCCCTCTGCTTGTGGTACGGACTTGGGAGCAAAGATGGAAGGGGTGGCGGGTAGTGGAGGAAAGTTCAAGGAAGACAGCATGCGAATCCCACCCACCCATCACATCCGCTCTCCGCCCTGCAGGGAGTGACGAACACAAGGGGGGGGGGACGGATGGCACACACACACACACAAAGCCAACCTAAAGGAGTTCCGCATTGTGTCTACCACAAGGTTCTCCCCCGCCTTTTCCATCCATTGCTTTAGTCCTTGTTTTTTTTTTCACCCCCCTTTTTTTTTCATTTTTTTTTTTTGTCTTCTCCAGGCTCCTTATTTGTTTATTTGAATTATCTCTACACTCTATTCGTTTACTCGACAGTGGACCACCATGCACACACACACCACAGTGGGGAACGTACATGCCTATATATGTATATATATACATATATGCATGCATGTGTGTGTGTGTGTGTATATATTTGTATGCAGGCACACGCGTATACTAAAGGGAAACGGAGAGGCGTCATTCGCCGCACAAGAGGCAGCATGTGGGTCTCCAAGAGTCCCTCTCGTTGCCGCCCCGCGGAGGGCCCAGGAGAGCAAGTAGGTGTATTCTGACACATGCGCATGTCTACTCATAGCAGCGAAAAGTCATCGTCGTCCCCCAGCCGTGTCTCTAAGAAGCATCGCTCCAGCATGTCGCTACTTACCTCAGCCCTGCTGGCCGGCAAAAGTTGTAGTGGCGGCAAGACGGAAGGAGAACGGAGGGGGGCCAGCAGACAACTGCTGCCCCCAATCTCTGCAAGAACCCGCCGTCTCGAATTGGCTGCAAGAGGTGCATCATCATCATCGTCGTCGTCGTCACGTTTGCCCCGCGGTGCGGGGCGAGGAGCACTCGTGGGAAGTCCGCCTTGGCCAAAGAAATGGTAGCGCCCCGCACACGGTCCGGACGTGTTATTCCACGGCGTTGTCGCCTCCGCCACGGCGCGGTGCGTGGAGGAGATAAAAAAGGAAGAAGAACCCATATCCGCCCCAACGTTCGTTGCCGTCTCACCACCAAACAGGCGATGATGCTGCTGTCGCTGCATGTTCTTCTTGCGCAACTTCTTGTTGTACGGCGCCCCAGCAGCACTAGAGGAGAACGGCGTCTTCACACTGCAGCGTGCCTTGCCGCCGGATGACGCATGCCTTGCTAGATGCGGCGCTTCTGAAAAGAAACCATCCTTGTCTTCTGTGAGCCACAACTGCTGCTGCTGCTGTAGTTTTTTTCTCCTCTGCCGCCGCACCGTGCTGGAAGTCTTCCTACTGCTACGCCTGCTACTTCCGTCGTCGGAGCCACATGCCTCAATGCGGATGGTGGTGGTGGATGTAAATCCCCCCTTGGCATCGTACTCGTCTATACTCCACTCCACGCAGTTGGTCATCTCCCTACCGGCCCTTCCGCCCTCGTTCATTGCAAACACCGCAAACTTTATTGGGTTAAATGTCTTCTGCTCCCAGCTCAACCTGTTTACGTGCACGCTTTTTTTCCCTTGTTTTTTTTCCTTCCCCCTCACCCTTACTCTTTTATGCGTATATGTATAGCAGCTCACGTACACCCCCCACAGAGGTGTGTACACGCCGTGAGGGCCAGGGAGCCGGCGGAGCGTTTGCAACGACCCGTGCTACTGTGCTGCCTGCGTGCAGCACGACTAGAGAGAGAGAGAGAAAGAAGAGGAAAAAGCAACACTCGCGGCAGAAGTGACGCTCTGACCCCATCCACGGGCCGCGTCTGCCCCACGCGGTGGCCACTGCAGGGGGAGGGGAACGAAGCAACGGCGTGGATGCAAACCGACGACGACGCCGGGGAAAAGGCAACCAAAGCAACGGCGGGAAGTTCATGCACAGGCGTACAGAAGGAGAAACAAACCAAAAATTGTCACCGCAGTGCCGGCGGGAAGAGTAGACGGCAGCAGAGAAGCCACACAGACGCACACACACACACACTCACACGCACGCACGGCAAGGGGAAAAAAGGGGGAGAGGCCATATTACACAACTCGGACTGTCCTTCGTACTCTACCAGCCGGTCCCGCGCCTTCCCCCCCCCCCCCCCGTCCCCAGCTCCCGGGGAGGAAACCAAGTCGACGCCGTTTGCGGCGGTGGAACTGTGCCGCAGTGAGCCCAAGTACAACGAAAGATGCGATCCCGCCCCCTCCTTTTCTTCCACCCAAAGAAATAATGGTATGAAGAGCAGCCGCAAAAGCAACACGCCAACAAAGTCCCAAACGACGCTCAAGATGCACGCGTTGGACCCTCCCTCCCTCCATCCCCACACACACACGCACAGTTCTCGCCGCCGCCGCCGCCGCCGCCGCTAGTTCCCCTCCACAGGGGCCACTTCCTCTGTTTGCGAGGCGGAAGCAGTGGCGGAGGCGTCCGCCGGCGCCACGTCGCCCCGAGTTTCCCCCGCCTCGCTTTCCCGCATCAGAAATTCCACCCACAACTCCGCGATACTCGGCGAGCTGACACTGTCGCCAGCCCCCTTCGGCGCCGTCCGGGCAGGGCCCCCCCAGACAGATTTTACCAGCCCTCCAATGAGTCCACCGCGTTTGCCCTGATGACCAGGCTTTGGATTGCTGGGCCCCGGCAAGAGGCCCGCCCTCTCCTGCATCTCCTCGTCCCAGTTCAGCAGACCGCTTAGCACCTTCAGCATCTCGTCCGCCTCGCGTCGCTGACCTACAAAGGCGTGGATAAAATTCACCGTGAGATGACTAATGACGCGTTTGTCGATCATCGTCGTCCCATTTAACTGTCGTGCCGTCTCCTCCAGCGCCTTTCGAAGTTCCGCGTGTTTGCGATGAAGGGAAGTAATTTCCAAATTCTTTGCCGCCATCTCTCGCCGATGACTTGCAACAATTGCGTCGATGTCCTCCTGATGGTGTTGCTGCCGCGCCTCAGCCTCTAGCAGTTGGGACCGCATCTGATCAATCTCAACCTGCATATCAGCTGTCAGCTCCTCCACGTCACGCGTTTTGTTCTTGCTAAAGGTCTCGAGCACTTGTTGCAGCGTCTCTAAACTACGCTGTGCCTGCGACAACTCTTCATCCCGATCCTGCAAGGTTCTTCGCAGTGTTTCCACTTCCGCAGCCAACGCGGCCAGCTGTTCCTGGTGTGTCGACTCTCCAGAGCTGGAGAGACCAATGCGTGACTCCCACGCCTTTTTCTCTTCCTTGAGTGTCTGGAGCTCATTTGTGACGCTGGCAAGCGCGTGCTGTGCGTCACGGTGCAGCTGCGACTCCGCCTGCATCTGCTGCTTCAGCTTGGCAATCGACTGCTCGCGCAGGGAAAGATCCTCCCGTAGCTTCCCAATGGTTTTCCAGGCCTCGTTCACCTGCTGCGAGAGTGTCGCATTCACTCCCCGCGCCTGCTCATACGTTCGTTCCCACTCCTTCTGCAGTTGCGCTGCCTTTTGGTTCGCATTGAAAAGACGGTTAAACTCACTTGCAAGAAGTGTGAGTTTATCCGAGAACGACGCCCAGGCGCCATCGCGGGACGGCGGCAAATCCGTGTCCGCACGCACAAGACAGTCCGTGATTGTGTGCTCCAGCTGCTGCATGAGCTCCGCCGTTCGTGCCGAGGACGCCTCCAGCTCCTTCCTGCGGGCCGTGAGGGCGCTGACAACCGAGGCCTCATGCCCCTCCGTCGCCCGCCGCGCCTCTTGTAGACTACACTGCAGCGCTTCCACATTTGCTTCCGCCGTGGTCAACTTACCAGAGAGTGCTTCCGCGTTGGACTGGGCCTCCTTGAGGCGGTTGTGGAGCCGCTGCACTTCCTCCTGCAGCTTCTCACGCTCTCCGTCCGCATCACGCGCCTGCTGCTGGGCGGCTGCTAGTTCCCGCTGGAGTTCCTCCAGCGTGTCGTGCGCGCTTCGCTCCCCCTGTGCCCTGAACGATGCCAGCTCCTGCGCATGCTTTTCGCCCAGTGCCACCTCCACGCGGTGAACGGCGGCCTCGCCCTCCTGTTTGGCCGCCTCCAGCTGCGACCGCAACGCCCCCACCTCCGCCCTTAATGAGGCGACCACTCTTTCCCAGGCCTCGTTGCCTGCCGCTGCGTCCGCCTCCGTTTTGCGCACAGTTTCTTCCGCCGATTCCTCCTGTCGTGTCAACCTCCGCCCCCGCCGCTCCTCTTCCGCCGCCATGTCATTCTCGCGCTGCTGCCGCCGGTCATTCTCAAGCCGCTGAACGAGCTCCGCTAGCCGCTGCGCCTGTTCCCGGTCGTGGGACAAGATCCGATCTCTTTCCTCCACCGTCGCGCGGTGGCTGCGGCGCTCCTCCTGCAGCAACGCCGCCATCTGCTCCTTCTCACGCGTTAGAAGAAGTTTTTCCTCCTGAAGTTCCTCGATCCGCCGACAGAGGTCCGGCACTGTCACATCACTTGCAGCCATTGACGAGGCGACGTCAGTGCCGGCATGCGCAGCTGGGGGAGCAACAGCAACGGAAGCTACGGGTGTTTTGCCTTTATTCTCCTCCGCACGCTCCACCCGCTCCAGCAAAGCATCATGCATGTCCTGCAAGGATTCGATTTGCTGCCTCGTGTCCAAGCACTCCTCTTCCCGATAAGCCAGCTCTTTTTTGACCTCGTCATGCGCCACCTTCATCATGGCGGCCGCCTGCGTGAGTCTATCCACTTCTTTTCGCAGTGCCTGAACCTCACACTGAAGCTCGCCACACTCCTTCTCACGCTCTGACAGCTTTCCCGCAAGCTCCTCTTTAAGCGCCGTCTCCGAGTTGATGCCTTGCTGAAGCGTCACCATTTTTTGTTCATAGTACGCCACCGTCTTCCTGTGCGTCTCCGCCACTTCCTCCTGGTAGGCAAGAACCTGTTGCTCCATCTGCCGCTTCTCCGCAGAGAGGCGCTGCAGCTGGAGCTGCAATTCCGCCACATCCTGCTCCCCGCTCCGCCTCATCATTTCACCCCAATTTCGTGGCCCCGCTGGTGACGGTGTTGCCTGCGCTGGTGCCACAGCAGCTTCCCTGCACGGAGTTTGTGGCGGTTCCCCCGGGGCCGCGTTGGCGGAGAGAACGTTCCGTTCGCTGCTGCTCTCACGTGCGGTGGAGGTGCTGAGGCGGGACGGTGGCGACATGCTAACATCCGATGCGGCAGCGCGACGCACCGGGGGAGCGGGGTACCCCGCCGGCCGCAACGTCGACGAGTTGCTGCTCTGCTCGTGAAGCGAGTCATTGCCTGCCGGTGGGGCCCGAAAACCGTGTGCCGCGGCACGTGTCACCTGCCGTGGCCCGGCTGTACCCCTGCCTGCGGGCCGGACTTCCTCCTGCGCGCCCTCCACGTCCTCGTTGATGGGCTGGGCAATCTCGGCGGCGATGTCCCTAATCTTCTTCGTGACGTCACTCCAGTGGCTCCACATGTTGCCGCCCCGGTCCCTTTGGCGTATACAAAGCTCACCTCGCCGCGGATGTCCCGCCGCAGCGCCAGCCAGCCCTAGACGCCTCGCCCAGCACCAGTTCTTTTCCTCCTTCTTTTTTTTTGTTTTCGCCTACCACCTTTTCTTTTCCTCCGCGTCCCGTGTGTTTCCCTTCCTTGGGGGGAAAACGGACAAGAGCGGCGATGGCAGGAAACTAGTAACAGCAGAAGAAAGGGCGTGAGCAACGTCAGAGACTGTTAACAAACGCCTCTGCTCTGCGTGTGCGTGTAGATGCGACATCCACCACCAAGTAAGAGAGCGAGGGAATTTATGTATGCATGCATGTGTGCGTGTGTGTGTGCGTGCGCCTGTGGGAAAGCGGGGAGGGAGACTCCCACTCCCTTCAACGCAAACAAAGAAAGAAAAAAACAAAAAGGAAACAAGCTTCGTTACTCTTCTTCTTCCTTCATCCTGCATGCTGCGTATGTGATAAAAAGGAGTCCGCGAGGAGGGCGCCACCCCCGTGACGGGCCGCCGACTTCCGCCTGTCTCTGCCACTTCGCACGAAACCTGCGGGAACGCCACTTGCGAGGTAGTCCGGTGGGGGCGTCACGCGACGCGGGCAGTGCACGGGGTCGTGCTGTATCTTGCGGTGAGGCTGCAGACATATGGGGCAATGCGTTGCCGTGTGCAGGCCCCGCGGCACGGCCGGACATCGGTCGTACAAGTGGCCACGTTTTCCACATTTAATGCAGAATAGTTTATCCGCATTCGTACGAAGCTGCTCCGCGTCCAATAGCGTGTCTCCCGGGCGGGCGCCCGCCTCAGCGCCGGAGAGCCGCGGGCACTGCGTAATGTGATGCTGCCCACTGCAGTACGCACATCGCAGGCGACGCTGGTGCAACGCTGGACGCTGGTGATAACGACGCCATGCATGCGGGTTAAACGTCTGCGTTGGGGCGACGGTGGGGATTGAAATGACGTTCGCCTCACCCTGCTGCCCCGCGGCATCTTCGAGGGCGGCTGCCACGTCGTCGACGGTTGTCAAGAGCGCGTCGTCCGCGATACGCTTGCCGCCCTTCGCGTCCCCCTCGACAGCAGCTCCCGCTGCGCTCGGTAGCAGCGGGACACCCGCGGGGCAGGCGCTCCAGGCGTGCCCGCGCGCCCCGCAGTACGCACAGCCCAACTCCCCGCATTCCTCCCTGCGCACAACGGTGGGATGCCCGGCGCCCCACGCCACCGCCACGTCACGCTGTGATGGAAGGCAGCGCACGCCGTCGGCGTGCATCAAGGCCTCGTAGGTCTCGCAGTCCACCGTGGCCCCACGGCTCACAAATGACATACGCTCCGCGACATGACTGCAGTACGCCTCTACCACATCTCCCTCCTCCATTCGCAGGAGAAGGTGCTGGACGGCGCTCAGGTTGGCCTCCTGCCGTGGGTCGGGAAAGTGCAGCGCGGTGCATTCCAAGCCACCACCCAACGCCAACTGGGCGACACGACAGAATGTCTTCTCATCCTCCAGGTTCCTCAGAGCCTCCAAGAGAAGACGATAGCGATGGCCACGCATACCAGTGAGCTCCGGCACCTGCCCCAGTTGCTTTAACCCATCGGCCTGCGACTCGGCAGCGACTTCCAGAGCGGACGCGGCAGAGGTGGCGAGGAGTGGCTCGGCAACCAACTCCAGGGGAGATCCCTCACGCAGCGCGTGTTGCGCGGCCATCGGCAAGCCCGCGAGTTTTGCCTGCGGCACCGTGTGGAGCACCCTTGCGACCTCCTGCATGGCCTCTGCAAGCGCAATATCGTTCACAAAGTCGTTGACGACGGTGAAGTTGGCGGCGGCAAAGGCGGCCCTAATCTCCTCGTCCGAGGCATTGTTGGTGGCAACCTCATACAGCGCAAGGTCGCAGGCATCGCTGAGCGTGACCAACCGAAAATCAAACCGAAACGACTTCCCCACAAGCCGACGCCCATCACGTCTTCCCCGCCACCGCTGCTGTAGCAGCCCACCTTGCTTCTTGTCCAGGTGTGAGAAGCAGGTGTGGTCCATGTCCTGCTCCGTCTCCTCCATCGCACCAGCCACCTCCTTCTCTGGCGCAACCCGCACGTCAAGTGCAACGCGCATGCGGCACTCCGGCCCAATCCATGGATGCGACGAGCCCTCCTCCTGGCCGTCCCTCTTCCTTCCGCAGACGTCGCACCCTGTTGCACCGTTACTGCCCCCAGCCGCGGCATCCATCGCCTGCGGCAAGGAGGAGGACGAAGTTGGCGTCGCGGCGGGTGACAGAAAAAGTGCCTTGAGTCGCTGCTGCTGCTTCAGAATCGCCTGTACGTCAGATGGGAGTTGGTATTCGCTGAGGTATCCAGAAACGGTGCCGTGGGGGAGCAAGCACCGCTCCTTCACGCTAATAAATCCTCCCTGTAGCAACGGATGTGGATAGGCACACTGAGGCAAACTAACGTCCACGTCAGTTCCAAGAGGGATGCTTCCCGCCTCACCCGAGGCGGCACCGGAGCGCTGTAGGAACTGTTGAACGTAAGGGTTCTTAAAGGCACTCTTTGTGGTTCGTTCGGCCGCACTCCTTTCAGATAGGGCCCGTCGTACGCGAGCAGACACGCAAGGAGGAAGACGGCACAGCACACGGTAGACGGAACGTATAAGATGCAGTCGGTGACAGTTGCGCAGAAACATAAATTCATGCGGTGAACAGGCAATAAGTGATGTTCCCTTCCGCTGTGCCGTCAACGCATTCACCTGCGAGGCCGTGGCATACCGCGATAACGCTGGGTGAATGAGTGGCAGAACCACACGAGGTGTGCCGCTTCCGGGCGGAAGCAGGTCTGTCATCCGGCTGAGCAGGGAGTCACTGACATCCGTTGGCTCCACCGCCGGGGTGTTGGATGGCGAGGCGGAGAATAACTGACGTCCGCTGCTGCACGCGGCCACCTGCGACGCGGCAAAGTACGGGAGACCAGAGGGCTTGTACACCGCAATCGTTGGCGCCGTGCGACCCCCACCACGCTCGAAGTCGAGGCTCAAGGAGGACTGCAGCAGCCGAAGCGGACGCGCCGCTCGATGCGACATCTTGTATTCCTTCTGCCTTTCTACTTCTCGATACCGGGAATCGTCCACTTGCGCTTATTCGTCGCCGGATTGCACTTGCTGGGTGTGGCGCAAATGCGTGCATCCGCAGAGTTGAGAGCAATGGAGAGAAACACCCCACCCCAAATAAAACAAAAAAAAGAGAGACATATAGAGAGAGGTACAGTGTGTGTGTGTGTGTGTGTGTGGAGGAAAAATAGGAGAGAAGGCAACAGGTTTCTTCAACCTTTTTTCCCCCTTTTCCCCCTTTGGCTCCGGCGGTAGGAGGTTGCTTCATGGCCACCACTGTGCGCAGGAACCACGTGGCTGCCCGCCGCTGTCACCGTGACGTGGGCGCCCCCTCCTCGACTTCATCCGGCGGTGGTGGCGGCGCAAGCCAAAAGCAGCACCGGTAGCCGTCAAAAATCAACGGTCGTTGGATGGGGACGCGGCGATGCTGCACAAGTTTGATGCACTCCTGCGCCGCCGCCGCGCCGACGATGCACGCCGTGGCAGCCGGCTCCCCCGCCCCAAACCGGGCCACCTCCATACACGCCTTTGCGGTGAGACCCGCGCCGCAGCAACGCCCCTGCCATGACCTCTCAATGATACGCAGCAACGCCCTCGAGTCACTTTCCCACGTTGCGTCCGGCTCCGCGCTCTGCTGCGGGACGCGCCCCGGTGGCCGCCCAACCTGCTCTTCAAACTGGTGCGCAGCTAATAGCGCGGTGTACAGCTCCACCGTGAACCGCTCCGCCTCCGTGGAGCACTCGGCAAAGTAGTGGCGGACACGCTGCCAGCGCAGGGGCGCGTCCGTGGCTACTTCGTCGAGGCCAGGGCCAAAGTGCGCCAGCTGCAACGTCCATAAATTCTGAACCAACGTTCGCGTTACTTCCGCGACTTCGTCCGCATTTACCACGGGCGCATAGCCGCCATTACTGCAGGCGGCAAGTGCCTCCATCGCGTAGCCCCACACCGCCGCGCAATCGTCTTTCATCTTTTGCTCGTAGATGCCACACAGCTCACCGTACCACTGCGTCGTCGTGGTGAAGTCCGGCACGTACCCGCAGAAGGGCGGTACAGCATCGTGTTCCTGCATAAATCGCTTAATCCCATGCAGCACCAGCCAGTAAAGTGTCCCAGGGCCCTCAAACGACGTCCCAGCTAGCCATGGTGCGTCCGTGCGGGGGTCACGCAGGATTTTTTGCACTGCGCCCGGCAGCAGCGAGGGGCGGTTAAGGGACACACGGCACCGCTCCATAGCCTCCATGAAGCCTTCCTGTGGCGGAGTTGGCCTACGAATGAGTGCCCCAACGACCATTCGCACGGCGTCGTAGTCTGCTTTGGAGTGCGGCACAAACTCTGGTGCGCCACGATCCCGTCGAATGCGCTGAAGAGCATGGTAGAGAATGGCGATCCACGGAAGATGACTGTGCAGCTCAATATCATCGCGAAAGAGTGCGTCATCCTCTGGATCATGTGAGTCAAACCACGCCTTCAGCTCAGGAAAGGGGTTGAAAATGCGCAGGTCTGCCACGCAGCTTTCTGGCTTAGGCTCGGCATGAATAATGAGTCGTTCCCCCTCCTGCACGTGGATGAGGCCTATGAGTCCTACCGCCTGAACGTACACGAGCGGGGGGCCACGTTGGCCTTTCAGCCAGGCCGAAAGGCGACGAAGCGAGACGGCTGGTAATCGCGGCGTCACCACAATGAGGGATGGAGGTGGACGCTGCTTGGCCACGCCTGCCGCCGTCGCACAGGCTTGCGTGCCAGACAATAAAAATTCCTCTACCCACGCGACACATGACTCCACGCAGGCCATGCCATGTGCCTGCGGGTTTAACAAAGAGAGGTGCTGCAGCAACGCCTCTGAGAGCGGGCGGCGTGCGTTGTAGTCCTCAACGGAGACAAAAAAGTTATTCCCCACAGCCTCTTCATCCACGCGGGCGTCGTCCACGACTGTGTAGAAGCCAATCCCTGGTAGAACCACGTTCTTCAGCACCTCCGCCGCTGCCGCCGTGGCACCCAAGACCACAATATGCGCCTCCGTCAGGGAACGCTGGCCGGCGTGGCTCCACAACCGCAGCTGTCGGTCATACTTCGTCCCACTCATGTGCGCGGCGGGAGAGCCACAGAGCAACTAAGCGGCACAAGTGTACTCGCCCTAGTGGTGACGTAGAAAGAATAGGTAAGCATGAGATATACCCGTCAACCGACGGTCCCCGCCTCTCTCCACACGCAGGCGCAGACGCAAAGTACAAAACAACAACACACACACACACAGAGAGAGAGATAGATAGATATATATATATATATATATATATTGAAGGGTCACTTCCGCTGGGAAGAAAGGAGGAAAGAGAAAAGACGGCAACGACAACAGCTGTAGCGAACATAAGAAGCAACACAGGAATGAGCATGGAAGGTAATCTGAGAAAAAGAAAAAGACCCTAATTTTTTTTTCACAGACACGCACACACGCAGATGAACATATGCAAAAGCAAAAAAAAAAAATGAAGGTCTCACACCTCCGCAAAATACATCTTGTGGCGAGAGACGGCCCGTGGAAAGGGCCCAAGGGAAGAAGGAGAAAAAAAAATAAATAAATAAATAAAAAACTTGCAAGGATATTCAAATAAACACGAACTGAGAGAAAAGTGGTGCGGCAAGCAGAAGAAAATAGTCTGCGGGGGACACCCACGAGGGGAACGGGGACTTCATACACCGGCACCCCCGCATCCCCACGACCCCCTGTTTCTTTTTCTCCTCCCCTGAGTGGCACACTCTCCGTGTTCGCGGTGATGTGTGTTGAACATTTCTTGTTATTATTATTCCTCACCTTCCGTGCACTTCATGCCGCTTTGGCTGCTGCTGTCGCCGTGTCTTTTTTTTTTGTTGTGGGTGTGTGTGTGTGTTTATTTTTTTTATTTATTTTCTTTTCTTGGCTGGTTTACATTCATGTTCTCTCTAGCAAAGGTGAGAGGAAAAGCATCTCCTCCCCCTCCCACACACACACGCGCACTCTCTTCTTTTTTTGTCGTTGTTGGTTTATTTTTCATCTTTGTTTTCTTTAGAATGTTTCTTTGCGTTCAAGGCCTACATCAGCTTGGGCATGTCCTCCTTCCTTCCCTGCTGCCGGCTCACGCTAGACGTCCGCGAGCGCCGCTTCGGCGAAGCCGGCGGCATGCAAATGATGTTGTTGTCGTTCTGTGTGTAGTACTGCTGCCGCTGAACCAGGGCGCACGCCTTCGAGGTTTGGCTGCGAGGGTCGGAAACGCTCCGCACCACAAGCGTGGGCGGAACGGCCCCCGCCACGGTGGAGTGGTTGCTCGGCCGCAGTTTGTTCTTGAGGTCGTAGAGTTTGACGGCCTCGTCAATTTTGCCAACGACGGCGCCTGGAACGATCCCGCGCGCCGCGGCAGCCTCCCGCGGCACCCACCGCGCGAACCCCTTCGAGGCACACTCCGAGCAGATGGCGCCGTTGCTCGCGGCCTGAAAGTAGGCATCGGCGATGTCGATGCGCCGACACAACTTGCAGCTGATGCACTGCGGATGAAAGAAAAGCTTTCCGGCCGGAACGCGCGTGACCGGGTCCACCGGGGCACCGCACTCTGCGCACATCACATGGATGTCCTCCACAACAAAGACGGGCCCTCTGTAGTTGTGGGAGACGCCGTTGCGCGCCCGGAAGGTCATGTACTCCTCCGTGGGCGTCATTGTATTCACGTTCTCCGGCGGCACAAAATTACCAAACGAAGAATACTTTAGTCCCACTTCGGTTCCACGGTTCCCCACAGTGGGCGGTTGCCCCACCGCACCGCGTCCTGCTTTGAGCGGAGGTACTACCCCTTCCTCAGGCACCGGCGCGGCCGCTAAAGGCGGCAGCGTGCTGGACATTTGTAACCGGCGATCGGTGCCGGTGCTCTGCGTCTCGCCGTCCGCCTCCTGTGCGCCGCCACTCCCAAGGGGCGGCGGCAAGGAGTGGGAGGCTACCGTCACACCTTCCTCCGTCGCATTGTTGTCTGCCACTTCTACAATTCCTGGCGGGCCCCCTGCGTGTTCGTCCGCTTCCACTTCCTCTCGCTGCACCGCCTGCGCCTCGTGTTCTTGTGATGCATCCTGCAGCTGCTCCTGCTCCTCCTGTTGCTCCTGCGGCGGAGGCACACTAACGCTCTCCTCCACGACGGCATCGCCGCCAGTGCCACGATCGGCCTCTTCCTCAATCACCGTCTCTTCCACCCCCTCCTCCTCCTCCTGCTGCTGGTGCTGCTGCTGCGGCTCCTGCTGTGGATACGCTGGCTGTGGCTCTTCAACCTCCTCGGACTTGTTCGACATGCCTGCGTGCCGTAACCCCTGCAGAAGAAGATGACTGCGCCCGGCCTCCTTTGTTTTTTTTTTCTGTTGTTGTCAAACGTCACCGCTTTGCACCGCTTTGCACCCAACTAGGCACGACTCACCTTCTATATATATATATATATATATTGTTTGGCTTTTCTCCCTCCTTGCAGCGCCCCGCCGCGGCTTCGTCGACGCCTCCCAACGGGGTGAACGCGGATGCCACTTTTCTCGCGGCGGTGCCCCCCCAAGCTTGCAAGCAGAGAAGGCGCAGTCAAATGGAGCGGCAACCCTTCACAAGGCGAAGCACGGAAGGCAACCAAAGAAACAACAAGAACAAAAGGAGAGAAGTAATAACACACAGATAAATATAACACTATAAAAGAAAAAAAAACGAGAATGCCGAGTGGCTGGAGAAAAAAAAAGGGAGGGAGCACAGCACACGTTCGCAGTGTTATTGCGGAAAACCAGTGAATGGTCCCGTTCGCTCTTCGTTTCTGG